GTTATAAAGCACAGCTGCATTAAAGCTGCCCAGTTTCTAGATGAGGGCACAATGCCTTCAGCCCAGCAGAGGAAGAGCACTTGCTTCTATTTGGGGGATGAGCCCTGTGGCACATTCCTCAGTTTTTACTTCACAGGACTCCTATCAGTCTGGATGACCTAATCAGGAACTGAGGTTCGTGACCGGGACGTCAGCCAAGTAAAGACCTGTGTCAGCTGTGATGGAATCACGACAAGTTGCGAAAGACAAGAACTGCAAACATCTGAAATTCCAGTGGCTTCCCTATTTACAGGTGGTCACGGCAGAGGCTCGCAGTCCCTCAAACTGCTTTCAAGGTCTAAGGACGACTCCTGTAACAGGCACCAAGCCACGCAGACACGCTCTCTGCCTGCTGGAGAGCCCGAGAGGTTTGCAGCCAATTCTGTGAGCTGAAATCCCAGTTGTCCTGAGCAAACAGAAGGAGAACAACTTTTATTTTTATACCCATGCTGTGATGCAGCCAGGGCTAAAGCACAACACACAGCATCTCTTTGAATGCTGGGATGCTCTACCAGCCTCGCAACACTTCCAGCACTGAGGATTTTCTTTGTAAGAGACAGAGAGAAAAGCACCCCCATAATAAAAACAGACTATGACAGTCTAGCCATGATGCTGGAATCTTTATAAAAGCCTTAAGTCTGTTTTTAAGCAATGCAAACTCAAAACAGCTAGAAAATGCCAGCTAGAAGAGTGTTCAATCTCTGGAGTATCTTCCCTTCGCAATTTCAACCACCAACCCCGTATAATCAATTGTATGTTGTCGCAGTTTGATTTCAAAGAAGTCCTACAAAACATTTCAAAAAATAACCTAATTGGAATGAGATTCCCTAGAATGTAATCACAAAGAAATGACTTCTTCAGAAGTAAAATTGTACTATTGCACCTTGCTTCCAACTGGAATCGTGTTCATCCATAAGAATCTAGTTCACTAGCTGTCTTGGAAAATTTCATTCAAGCAGTTGTTCATTAGCACAGGCAGATGGGAAGTAAGGCAACCCATGCAAATTACTTCTAAGTTGGTTTGTAAAATACCAAAGAATACAGGACAGTTCATTACAATACTTTAGCAGTGGATATGAACGAGACTTTTATTCTACAACAAAGGCAGCAAGTTGTCACTCTGAGCACTGCGATAAGGCAGATAACGATATCTTCAGTGGCCAGTGCCACGCGCTGCAGTGGAGGGTTTTATCACTCTACCACAAGACAAAACAAGTAACTTCCCAACTAAACGGACAGACTAGAAACTGTTCAAACCAGTTTTGTTCCTTCTAATCCTCTCTGAAACGCACACTAAGCAAAACACAGACTGTGTTGACATGCAGAGGAAATAACGTCACTTCACTGGGACTCTCCTGTGGATCCCTCCCGACCTCCCGCATCCCTCAAACCCAAGCACAACGCGTCTCTCCACCAGAGGGAAGTACTGAAACGCACAGATGAGAACAGCCACTGCACAGCAAAGGCGTTTGTGTTTTCTCCAAATGAAAACAGAGGTATTGACCTCGGTGCCAGAAGAAGGTGTTCGGTTTTACAAACTCTTCTGCAATATCCACGTGGAGCTTTGCAAAACAAAAGTAGGGGAAGCTTTCCACCTCCCGAGTACATGTAAAAATTGCTTCTCTGCTCCTGCTCCCTCACAATTTAGATGCATGAAGGACAGGCTGCCCTTTTTGCTACCATGGCGCTGCAGAACAACAAACACACCACGACTACGCTTTTCAAAGCAGTACAAAGGAGTAAAGCACTCGGATCCTACTGAGTGCCAGTGGATGCTGGACATGTGAGTTCTCTCTTAGTGAGGCGGAGAGCTTTCCTTCCCACTCTCGGGCTACACTTGATCAAGTCAAAGGTTTATTCTGAGCAACCTCACACTTAACAACCAAGCTGGAGAAATCAGTCCTATTTATCTGAGTACACTACCTGCAGAGTTTAATTATCCAGCACCATTTCTGACAGCACTTCTCCCCCACGTGTTCTGCCTTGTCAATGACACCTTCACATATTTGCACTGTAAGCTAATGGCATAGAAAAACTTTTAGGGATGAAATTATAATCACCAAGTCTTTAAATAAGCCAAACTCTCACTAAAGTGAACATTCAACCTGAAGTCCATGCTAAGAATGGGAAAGATGACGGATATCAGACCCTGGATACCTTCCATGAAGTTTTAAGACTAGAATTGGAATAATACTACCCTGCTTCCAAAACTCCTATTAGGGAACTTGTTTACAACATCTTTATAGGTTTGGGTTTTTTCTTTTTCTTCACTTGAGGAGGAAAAAAGAACTCGCTCAGTTCCTTTTGTTTTTTATCTTGTTGTCTGTTCTCTGTTACAGGGATGTACATAGCAGTACGAGTAACTACGAACCCAGGATCTCTGCTGAGGGCAATGCACGCAGCCACCACACGAGTGTGCTAGCAGACCGAGAGGACAGGTGAGATTTGACCTTGGGACAGCTCGGTAACACCTTCCTGTCAACCCTTTGCCATTCGAGTGGAAGACTTTTCAAAAGATGTGCGACATCCAGATTTTCAAAAAACAGCAAATACGTATGTATGTACAAAAGAGTGCACTCTGAAGTGACTACAGCATTATGCCAGTGTACCAAATCTGTTTCCATGCACAAGGTTAGAAAAAAAAAAAAGCATAGCACTTACAGTGGTTCAAAATAAGTCCTTCCAGTAAGGAAGTATTTCAGTAGCAGCAGCAATGTCTCTCTCAAAATTGTAAAGTTCTATTCTGTTCATGTGGTTTACAAATCCTTTATTTTCCACTGAAGATTTGGATATTTATTTTATTATGTAAATTTTTGAAGGTGCATATCTTTGCTTTATATTTCAGAACAACATCTGGACATAGGATGGTAACTATTTCCCAACACTTGTCTGTGGAATGAAGTTGGGAAATCCTCCTGTAACTTAGGAGGATATCACCCAAGAACTTTACATGGGAATTTACCCCAAAAGTATGCATATTAGAGACAAATCAGACTACCAAAAAAGTCAGCTGTGATTCTTCACTGTGTGCTGCCTACAGAAGAAAATTAAACCCATCATTTTTCAGGCTATGACATGGTTCTGTTTGTCTGCACAATCTTCCAGAAAATCTTTTCTGGAATCTAACTAGTGTTCATTACCTAAGCCAAGAAACAAACAAAAAGCATCATCTAGACCCATCTTAAGAATGAAAATTCTTTCCTCAGAAAGAAAAACGAGCAAGCTGCATGGTTAATGCTTTGTGTTTGAAGACTTGGCACAGACCAGCGTGGTGGAATCCCAGGGAGGAGCGTTCTCTGACAGTTAAACTCCACGGAAAGTACATCTCCTCCTACTGCTAGGAGGGGACACACTTTCCTGCACAGCTACAGTGCTGAACGGAGTAAGCCAGGCTGCACCTCCCTTATCTCTCCCCTAGCCCCTGCCCAAAAATCTCCTCCAGGAGCACATACCGTCCTGCTATCAGCCCTTCTGTCCTTATGAAAACTGTGGCGGCTTCTCTGAGTAGAAACCAATGAAACATCTGCTCCGTCTGTTTTGTCCAAACTCTGCTTGGTCCACTCTTTCCTAGAAACCTGTTAAAATGAAGTTATATATGTTAGTACATGTCCATGCATACACACACATCTGTATATAAAATCCACTTTGGGGAAAAAAACAGATGGAAGTTCAAAGCTGAAAATGCAAAACGGAAAAAATATTCCAGCCATCAACGTCCAACTGGCTGTGCAGTAATGCATCAATGTGTCACTGTGTTCAGGGAATCTCTTGCATTTCACCAAGGTCAGTATCAGCAGTGAAATTTCACACACAAATGAGGGCCATTCACTCAGTAAAAAAACCAAAAAACAAAAAATTGCTCCCTTCAGAAAAAAAACCAACTTCAAAAAATTCACTGTCAACACCTTATAAAATAAACCCAAACTACTACTTCTTCAAATAATCATAACATTGCAGAGTTAACAATTTCACATCCTAGGTTCCTAGCATTAATAGAATAATATGGACATGTTTTAAAACATTTTCAAGCTCTCCATGGAAACTTCAATAAATATTTATACACTCGAAACAAATTCAGTCATCTAGTACAATACAAATTCCTCAAGAAAACACAACCCCAAAGGAAATGAACTCTATTGAAAAGTATGTGTCTGCTCACTTGCTGCGAAGCCACAGCTAACGCTGAAAAGCAGTAGAGAGACATCATAAAAGCTCCTCCTCGCTTTCAGTTTTAGTTACAGGAAACACTTAAATACCATCTGGAAATACCTTTTTATCCTCGTGGAAGAAAGATTCTGACTGCAATGACGTCTTGTATTTCCACCCATCATCCGCACTTCCCAACGGGAAGCTTTGCCTGGATCGCTGCAGATCCTTTCTTCCCCTTGCCTCTTGCATAAGCAGTAGATTGTCTTTTCCTTGGCGGCTCTTTTCTGAATAGGATCGTCTCAAATCTGGGGCTGCACTTCCTAAGCCAGATGTGTAGCTCTTCCAATCAGTTTTGCTTTTCACATTGGAAGAGTCATTCTCACATGTCACCTTGTTTGCACTGTCTCTGTCCCTTGCTAAAGAGCTTCTTCCTACATTTTTGCTCCAATCGCTTTCTGGAGACACCTCCAAGAACTGTTCTTTTGTGACCAACTTCCTCTGTACGAGGCCACCATCTGCCTTTATGGACAACCTGGAAGAAAAATTAACTTCCAACCTTTGGTCTGTACCAACTGCATTTATAGGCTGTACCTTATCACCTACCGATTCTGAACTTTGACTCCTGGACATTAAGTTCACTTCTTCATCCTCATCAACGATGAAAGTCTTTTTCCTAGGGAACTCCACGGGTGAATTTACAAACTTATCTGAAAAGAAGCTGCTAGGATTTCCCCAGTAAGGAGGGCTGAACTTTCTGTCTTTGGACTTTTGTTTATCAAATTCAGTGCCACAGGATTCCAGTTTCTCTTTGCTCTTTTCATTTAGAATTAATTTCTCTGGCCTGTGATACTCTTCTGCATAGCCAGCTTCTTTGATATTAACAGAATAATGATCTGATCCCTTCCACTCTTAAAGAAGTTGTCCTCTCTGACACATTTCTTTTGTTCTTTGATTTCTCCCTACTGAATACACTGTGATCTTCAGAGAGCTTGTCTTGCATGTTACTGGCCTTGACTGATTCTTCTTTATATTCTGCCATAAGCGCATCGATGTCAAGAATTTGGGATCTGTAACGATCCCCAGCCTTCCTTACAGATAAATCATAATTATTTTCACTACTTTTCGAGGGAACCAGTTCACTGTCTTTATGTAACTGTGCAAAACGCAGGGGGGGTTTGGGTTCATGGTACGAGGAGACTTTTCTTCTGCTACTTGTAAGATCAGTTTCAGTTGTATTTTCCAGATCCTGTTTTAATAGGAAAGCATCAACATCTATAATTCTCTCTTTAGAATGATCCAGACCTCTTTCATGATGCTGTTGGTTATCTTTCCTAGACACACGAAAATTACTAAATGCAATGTTTTTGGAAAAAGTATCACCTTTTTCTTCTTCTTTGACCCAATCCTTGTTAATATGCACTTCTCGTGAGTCCTCTCTACAATTCGTACTCGTCATATTTTTATTTGGCTGCTGCAATAAAGGTTTGGACCTTCCAGGAAAAACAGGGTCCAGATTAATTGTTGCTCCCTCACTTGAGCTTGAAATTGCATTAGTTTCACTTGCACTAGGAGTACCAGCAAAGCTTTTCTCTTTCTTGTTACCAGGAACCTGATAAGTCACTGCAAAATACGTTGCCTTTGGCTCAATGGCAGAACTGTGATTTTTCAAGTGATCACTGGGACTGCCAAGAGCAGTTTGGTTTGCCTCATTCCCTTCCAGCCCTTCAGTGCTTTTTTTGCTTCTCTTTTTAAAGGAACTGTCATCCAATTGCAATGAATCTGTCCGACTTAGCCTTCTGGTATTCTCAGGGGTGAGCCACACCACATCTTCTGTCTTGACAGAATCCTGAGGCAAGGTCCTTCTTCTCCACCTTTCAGAAATCTTCAAGTCAGAAACGCTACTTCTGGTTCTTCTGACTTTTTCTTCGGGATCTATTACTTTGATTTTTTCACTGGTTTCATGAGTTGTACTATCTAACCTGAAGTCTTGTTCTTTGCAGTTTAAGTCTAGACTTTTCCTTAAACCAGAGACCCTCGATTCCTCTTTACTGATGGTCAGTACTTTTGTATCAGGATGGTGGCTACTGGAAGATTTACAGAATTGCCCACTTGAAAGCAGGGAAGAAGACTGGACCCCATGTTTATTTACACTTGTTGAAGTAACTTCATGATCAAAGTTGGTTCTGAATTCGCAGCTGTCTGTGCCACCTGGTCTAAAACTCCTCCTCTCAGAAGAGCATTTCATAATATTAGACCTCTCTGCTTTATCTACAGAAGAGACTTCACTCTTATCATTTTTAATTTCAGAGTGTAGTTGGTTTACTTTTTCATTCATTCCCAAATATTTGCTTTTGTTTGTAGAATAAGGTATTTTCTCAGCTACTAATTTTGGATCAGTTTCATTTTTCTCAAAATCTTTTTTCTTTTCAGGTAAAGTGCATTCACTGGAGAAAAGCTCAGTAGGTTCTCTCAACACAGACTTGCTCGTAAAACCCTTCATGTCTCTAGCTTCTGAAGTTATGTTATCTTCTTTCAAGTAGAGAGTTTTACTAGTTGTCCTAGTTGACTGGCCAGGGTGTAAAACATCCTCACTGTTTTTATTCTCTTTCACAGATGATTTTCTAGTTCTGAGTGTCATGGCCTTTTTTTCAGGAGCCATTGTAATGGCTTCACTAAGAGCTCTTTCACCACACGTCTGGAAGATTTCGTACCTTGGCTCTATTCTTTGGTAAACTAGAGAGTCTTCTGCATTTTTAGGAGTAGGTTTTTCACTTTTCTCAACCACCGATTTTTCTAAGAGAATTCCCGGAGTCATTTTCTTGTCTTCACTTGAAAAAGCTGCTTTTCCACTTTTTTCTACATCTGCTATATGTTTTGATGAATCAGATTGCTTGTGATACTCCTTCTTCACACTAGTAGTTTCCTCCACTTCTCCCATCCACGACCGTCTGCTGTGCCCCGAAGTCCCCACATCATGCTTTGCCTCCAGCTCCTTATTCACTTTCAGTGCAGCATCAGTTCCAGGATGACCAGCAGCAACATTGTGCCTCTGAACATTATGGTCAAACATGGTGGCTCGGACAGTTTTGATGTAGGTCTTTTCCATAAGGGTGGTTGGTTTTAATTTTTTTTCCAAGTTGCTTGTGAACGAGACGGTATTTTCGCTTTGGTGAGAAAAACGCTGACCATCTCCAAGGAAGCTTCCTGTCCTCTCTATCTGATCAAGTTTATTTGTTATTTTTAAAACCTGCCGGGGTTTCCAAGGGTTCCCAGTAGCATGGGATTCAGTGAAATCTGTGCCATGGGTAAGCTTGATCTCCTTACTCTGGAACAAGAAAATGCAACAGTTACAATAATTTAAAAGATGTGTACCAAAGTTTATATTTTAAAACTTACTTGAACCTACTCTGTGCAACACAGCCTGCACAAGTTCAACACATCCATGTTCCCTGAACACAAAATCCCCCCAGACCAAGGTAATCTAAGCAGAGGTGTACCTCCAGCTCCTGAATCCCGACTGCAACAGAATTATCTCATAGCGAGATATTTACTTTTAATATAAAAAAGGAAAAGTGTATGAAGTGTTGGTACATGAGATATGCATGACTGTGAGTTCCTGAGCTCAGATTTCACAAGACATTTTAATCTGCAGTGAATTTATACCCACACCACACCCCAGTGAAGACAACACACGCAAAAATAGTACAAAACTTTAGAAGGCTCATAACCCCAACTAGCACAGAAACATTTATGAACATTTATGTTGCAAGCCCTACAGCAATTAAAGTTCAAAAGCAAAGCACAGAACAGTACCACAGGGGTGCAGGCACCTTCACAGGAAGTGTAAACTCCTGGGAGACACCAAATATACTGTGTTTTGTCAAAAATGTCTCTTCAAATGTAGCTGTTCACTACCTAACGAGTTACATGGTCAGTGACTGCAGGGACCATGAAGATCTGAGTAAATATCACAGCTGGAGCTGCTCAGCTAATAAGAATGTTAAGGCTGAGCTGAATTAAAAAGAGAAAGTGAGAATTAATATTTATTGCCAATTCTTTACTGTTATCTACCTGCAGGAAACACAACTAGCATCCTGACAGCTGTTATTCTTAATAACATTTGTTGAAAAAGCACAGCAAACAGAATCAAAGAATACTCCCTGGTCCTACAAGAGTTCAATCTTTTTCTTTCAAGTTTTAAAATCTGAAACTTAGAATTGACTTAAGTTTCTCTTTAAAACAAAGCTGAGGAATGTCAGAAAACAAACACTAAAGACATTTATAAACAAATAGTTTAAAATCGGACCTATATTTTTTCTAGGAATTAAAAATAATTTCTTTAATCCTCCTTTATTATCAGATTCTGAAAACAGCACTTCCATTAATGGAAGATTTTATTTTTAAAACAAATTGATCTTCTTTAAAATTATATTAAACTACAGAAACTGTATCTAGCTGCTAGTTTCCTTTACCATATATTCCTATTTTAAACCTAGTCAGGAAAAAAAAAGCACAGCCACAAGAACTCACAAGAAATACCCTTAAAACTACATTAAATCTCCAATATTAAGTGTCAGCAGAGAAGTTAATGTTTTGCAACACCAAAATGTTGCTTAGAAACCAAGACAGCCCAACAGCTTTCACAGCAAATGAGAACTTTCTGTGTAAAGCTTCACTGTCAAAACTCGCAACTCAATGTCCTCTAGGAGACTGACCTGAAAGGTACAGCGTGTACTCGATAAGGAGCTGTGACTTCGGTGTAGAAATGCACCACACTAACACTATGCTCAGAGAAAATAAAGGATAATCACCGCACAAACCACGACAGCCGTAGCTGATGCGCGATGGGGTTTTGGGCATTACAAGTGCCATTAGAACAGTATATAAAATATTCCTCACTCTGTACCGCCCCATGTATTTAACAGCACGCATATTTAACTTCCCAAAAACAGACGTGGAACTCCCATCCTTCATCACTGCGTCCTAACGACAGACTTACACAAGTAACCCTATTAGGATTATTCATTCTTAATCCCCTCAATACCCATTTTATCGTCATTGATTGCTAAAGACACACAGGACACAGGACAGTGCTCTCTGCATTCTACATGCAAACCTCACTGGAGCCCACACCACCTCATGCCTTTTGCTTACTTTTTGATTTTCTTGTATTTCATTGTCAAAGTCATTTCTAGTTTCAGCAGGTTTCTCAGGCTTTGCTTCACTGGTTGATGTCGGACTCGAAAACCTAAGACAAAAGACTTCTGTTACTTCTTTTAGTCCAGTGTCCTACCAAAGCAGACTGATAAAAAATATCCAATAAATTATATTTCTTAACCATCACTATTTCATGTTGTAACTAACTGTATTTGGTGGTTTAATTGTATCTAGACCAAAGGATTGTTGTTTCCTTAGAAACCCTGGTTACGCAGATTACTGCACAGTATAGGACTTCAGATTGTTTTGGTCCGTAAAAATCAGCAAATCACATAATACTCAGCTGCTCACTGCCACAGCTTGGGCAGAACAGGCACAGATCTTCAGGCTTTAATATGACAGCAAAATAAGATTCCTGTCTGGCTGAAAACCCGATACTCTATACCGCTGTCAAAGACATGGTAACTGTTCTTGTGCTTTCTCACAAATATAAGCTTGCAGTCTGCTCACCTCAAGATTTCAAAGTGCATGACATTTTAATAACAGATATACAGTTACACTAACATGCAAAGGCCACAATATTGACAGCAATTTTTTTTTTTTTTTTTGCAGCTGTTGTCAGGGTCTATTTCACTAAATTTTCTTTTTTTTTGAGGGGTAGGAAAAGGTGGGAAAGAGGCTGAAGAATAATAGTATAAAAATAATTACATCTAGTGGAACCAAAACATGTAGTTATTGTACTGTACTGAAAGAGCAAGTTTTCCTCAATATGATGAAGTTAAGAGGATTAAAGAGAACTTCTCTGCAACCTACATCTTTGTTAAGTCCGCAGAAAGTGGTCGTGACTGAAGTGACCTGCGCACATTTCCCGGCTTAACATCAGTATTTTCTGTTGTCAGCTCTTTGATCCTCTGCTGGATGTTCACACACTTGTTCTCCCCCTCAGCAGCTGACTGGAGTTCTGGATCCACTGAGGTACTGGGATTTTCTGAAGTAAACAAACTGATGTGTTTTTTAACGCTACCTCTTACGATATTGTTCTCTTTTTCCGAGGAACCCGCAGGGCTTTCACAGCCTAGAAACATATATGTTTCCTTTTGACCCGGTCCTCTCCCCTCCTTGTCAGTTCTGCTTTCAGTGGTGCTTTCATGGCTTCTTTCAGAACTTTGCAAGTTAGCCATTATTTCTGGTTTTGTCTCAATTTGTTCACTTTTAGTTTTAAGCTTCGTTTCCCACACGTATTTTCCATTATTTAGGATGCCAATGTCCTTACTACTGCACTTCAAGTTTGTTTTAGGAGAACTGTCTTTACTAAATTCAGTTTCTTCAGTTTTTGGCCCCATTTCAGACTGACCGTGACAGCCCACATCAGTAAGAGAAGTGACAGGTACGTTCTCCTTGCTTTCATGAGACAAACAAGTCTTCCTGCAAGAAGAAAGATCTTTCTGTTCAAACTTCGCTGTCAGGTCCATGGACAAAGGCCTCGGTTTTCTAACCCAGGACTTCTCTGTAGGAGACTTTTCCTCAGAAGCTTCCACAGTGCGATGCCTTTGATCTCGTAATGATTCCAGAAAAATAGCAGATACTGGTCTATGTTTTGGCCGCTGCTGCGCATCAGGAGAGAAATCAGCTTTATTGTTGGTATTATTTGCATCATCATTGCTCTTCTCCCCTGGATGACATCCACAAGCATCTTTCTTTTCACCAGTTTTGAGGGAGTTCCAGGAGACTGGTCTAAGACTGGAAGAAAGCGATATCTGCCTATGAAGAGACCCTTCAGTATTCCTGGAGGTCTCAGCTGGCTGAGATGGTTTCTCCAGCTTTGCACTGCACTGAAGCTCTTTCGTTTGCGTAGTACTGAACACTCTGTGCTCATCAGCAGCCCTTTTTTCCTGGGCCAGGCTTCCCTTTGATGCCTCTGTGCTTGCTCTCTCAAAAAGAATAACAGTATTTGCACTGGGACCGGTGTAGAAAGTCATGTTCGTGACTACTTCTCTGCCAGCCTTATTTTCATTTTCAATCACCTTCTGATCTACTAACGGAGGAACATTTCCACTTAATCCCTTAACAGATGACATTTCTTCTGTGGCCTTTCTAATAAGACTACTTGATCTGAAAGCTGGAACAGGTGGTTTTACATTTGCAAAAGTATCTGAAGATTTCTCTTTAGAAAAAGGCTTTGGGAAAAGTCTTGGCCTTGATCCTAGCGACGGCATTGTTGCAGATCTCAAAGTACTCCCAAACTTGTTCTTCTCTTCAAGAGTTAGTGATGCTGAAGCCTCCTTTGTCTTGTTACTCGCATCTGAAAGCACACTTACATACACACGCTGGGATTTATCCTCATTTCTGATTTCACTTAAGTCAGGTACTGTCGTCAAAGACGCCAAAGTAGAATTTATTTCTACTCTTGTTGCCATAGTCGTAATTACACATTCAGAAGAATGGAAAAAATCCAACAAGGAAAAAGAACCTGCAAAAAAAAGAAAGAAAATGCCAGTATTGATGCAGAGTCAGCATGAACATCAAATACCATCATTCTAATTTACATTCATAAGGTAGCTAAACTCAGATTAAGGTGCCTTTCAGATATGCTGTTTACAGAGTGTATGAAAGACATACTGTTTCTCCTCCTCTAAAAAAACCAGCAAGAAACACCATTATTTATTGATTAGGGCTAACAACCAAAGAAGACATCACAAACCCTACAAGAGCATCTGCACAGCGCTGAGTTCCCACTAGTCACCTAAGCTTCAAGGGTTAAGATGCTCACAGATAAAGCAATTAACTTCTCTTTTGAGGCCAGACATCTCAACACTGACATACAAACACCGACTCCTTGTTACAATATAAATAGCTGGCCCCATCCATTGAGTGTGTACTTTCAAACTAACAAAAATGACTGAAAGTGGTATCTATCAGCCAAGCCCTACAGTTAAACAACAGAAATAAATGCATATTCCACAGATCTCCAATAGCTGTGGTACCACTTACCATAATTTGCATTTTCTGCTGCAACCAGTCTGCACAAGCTGATTCACTTCTCATAGTGACAGCAAGATCTTGGTCACTTCAGCAACATTGATCAGACCTGTCCTGCAAATAAACAGAGAGCATTCAGATTTTGGTGTGGCACATACCCAGAACTACACAGGTAATGACCCTGAGCATTTTAAGGAAAAAAAAACCTGGCTCCCATTTTGAAATGTAAAACCACCAGATTTAACTGTATAAAGCAAAAGAATGTTTCATTTGCAGACAGGTATTAAAGAATAAACAAGAAATTATCCCCTAAAGCCTGAAAAGCGTAACTGTGAAGGGTGAATAATTTGGTCTGCACAATAGACCAAATTTGAACACAGTTAAAACCACATTTCAACGAGCACTGTTTGCAGATGCAAGTGCTGTCAATCACTGGTTAAACACAAAGCTCTGTATGGCTGTAATCTCTATTACTGTCATTTACTTTCTATTTTAAATCTCTTTTCTGTGACAACAGTAGGTGAAGTGCTACCTGAGAAGCTGACCTTCAAACGGCTGATTTTCAATCAAAATATGACTTTTACCATGACAAAGCAGTTTTTGCGATATCTCACAAACAAAGGCAGGAGATGAGCTTTGGCTTTAATTACCTTCTTACTGCAGCAACAAGGTAAAACCCTCAGTAATTAGAACTTCAGCAACAAGAAGTAACCTGAACTTTTGCTAATAAAAAGTATATTTAAACTTCATAGCAGATGCAGGTGGCTAAAGTTAGATGCATTTTTTTCTTCCTTTAAAATCTGTCATACTCTTAATTTTTAGGAAATTCATACTGCATTTCATATTCTTTCACTCAGGGGCTCAATTGTGTGTTGCCACCTTCTCGTCTACCTTTGGGCAGCCTTTGAAGGGGCAGTCTTTGGACTCCTCTCGCCTGATCTATTTTGGTGTGCGTTTACCCTACCAATATGCCTAGTTGTAGATTCTGTGCAATATGGTTCTCACTGCCTGGGAATATCTAAAAAGAGAAAAAAAAAAAAATCCACACCAAACCACAAAGAGAATATTGCCTTCCTGAGTCTGCAGTCTGGAAAAATGGTTATTTCACCATTTCAAGCTTCCCTTGAATAGAGTAACACCACATTGGCACCAGAAATTGCAGAGATTTATTTTTGTCCCTTGCATTTACGCCTTCCTCTCTCAGGCAGGCTAATGAACTCTCTTCACCTTGCCCGTTCCCTTTCATCTTTCAATCCACTTGAAATTCTGTCTCAAGCACTTACACGCTGTGCTAGTCCCCTTCGAGTCCACGACCTCTCCTTTCCAAAATAGTCACTAACCCAATCAGCTTATCAGAATCAATCTGTCCCTTCCATAATCTCACTGATCTTAATGAAATCTTCCTCCCTCTCCCACTCCTTATTCTAAGAAACACCACCAAAATCCGATTAAAATGCTCTCACATTCCAAGGATGCAAAGAGCTCGTGAAGAGCAGTTACACCCTAAAAGCAGAATAGTAACGCTCACTGAAATAAGGGCAACGCCAAAAGGAAACACTGCAAAGCAAAAAATTAAACTGTAAAAACAGCATCTGTATTGCGATATTTGACAATATCTTTGCTCCTATCATTCTGTAGCTCTTTTCCTTTGGAAAAGAAGAAGGGGGCACAGAGCTTCTTAAATGGAATAAAACTTGATCCTCAACGGAACGCAAGGCGGTGAGCACACAATGCGGGACATAATCCTCGCTACCAGCGCACAGCTCACTTCTCCAGCCAGCATTCCTAAACCACCATTTACCCATTCTGATGATATTTGTTCCTCAGTGTTATTACACTACACTGCAGCTTTACAGGATCCTGCTTTTCTACAAGATCTAGAAAAGTCAGGTTTTGGGTTTTAACTTCTTGTTCCTCAGATACCCTGCAGCAGATCGTGTGGCCCAACCAGACAAGCATTCAAAACAAAAAAGAACAAAATATTTGGGGAAAAAAAAATACCACCCAATTTTGGAAATTATAAAGCCTCTGGAACTTCAAAAAGCTGCACATTTGATAAAGAGGAATCAGGTTATCAATGCCACATGTAACATACACTAGACATCGTGTCTCGGTTTTGAAATACACACCTTGGCTTAGATAAATGTGCTTCTCTCTAATACAATATTATCCGGTCAAGTTGGCAATGTACCAAATTTTGGGCAATTTTAAAAAAATGAACTGCAAACTAAATGGCATGAGAATTTTAGATGCTATTAATACTTAGTGTTAGCGCTGTAACTGCTACCACTGCAGCTGTAACCCCCCCCCGCCGCTGTGATTTCCCCGGGCCAGGCTGAGCCGCTGCAGGGTGGTAGTACCCAGAGATGCGCACGCAAACGCCGCTCCGGGCTCCAACGGCAATCATACATTCTTAATGTCTTGAGGTGTTGTTTGGATTTTTAATTAAATAATCTATCTTTACAAAGATTACTAACATTGCTCATTAGAAATCAAAACAGATTATTCACTTCAGTGTTATTTTTGCAAAAATCATACGGGAAAGGCTTTACCCAAAACACACCCTTTCCATTTGGCGTCTGCCTGCCCTGCCTTGCCCACCAGCGGCACACAGAACTATTATTTACATCAATGGTAATTCCTTTAAGCCTATTAGGACAACAGGAGCAGCAGCCTGCAGATAATTTTTTCACAATGAATCACATGATTATTGCCAACTTCCTTGCTCATAAATAAGAATGTTTTCAAATGACACAAAGCAAAATAATCTATAATCTGTCCCTGAACCTCACAACAGATAAACAAGTCCATCTGTCTTTTCTAAGGATGGAAAGCATAAAAATTCCGCAGAGAAAATCTCCCTGCTATAAAAACAAACAAACAAACAAAAAAAACAAAAACCAACCCGCAAACCCCAAAATCCAGTTTATACAATTGAAAACAACCATTTTGCCAGAGAGCACGACTCCAACAGGGAATATCTGTGTCTGTTTTTATCACGAATACTCCAGTAGAAAACCACCAAATAAACACAAGGTTTTCCTTCTTTAGACCCAACTGCTATCAGTATAAAAAACCTGCTCCCTTAGTGTGTAAACACAGCAAGAGATTGGTACAACTCCACACACTAGCAGCTCCTGCAAACCCAGCTTGGCCGATGCCCGTCCGCCCAGCGGTCCTGTCCCGGTGCAGCGAGCCTCAGGACCCGCTGCTAACAAACGCAACCGCCACGGACGCTGCACAGGCACGGAGCAATACAAGATTTACTTCATTCCTTCTGCAAAAGGCTTCCCCACTGTCTTAAATGCTTCAGTCTTTAAAAAAAATAAAGTGCGTTGTTTTTCTATTTTTCCCCTTCCTCTCCTCACTGACCATCTACTGGCAGCGGTCTACAGCGATTCACGTCAGTTATCCTGAGCAATCGTCCTTCTGCTGCTTCCTGCGACACTTGGAGAGTTGCTGATGGGATCTGCTCTGTTAATTCTGAGTTAATCCAATCACTTACTGAGCATGTATGAAGAAAAGAACACTTTAACTATGTGTGTGAATACTGTCAAGAACAAGATTTGCTATAGCACATTCAAAATAACACCAAGAGAAAAAAACCCCAACAAACCAAAAACTTCTTTGAAACTTTTATAACTAAGTAGATCGTGCAACCAATTCAGTAAAAAAACGCTTTTTCTATTCTTGGATTTAAGCTTGATTCAGGTTATTAGCACCGTCATTCACTGAAATGGGATCCATCAGTCGTATTTAAGAGGACATGCAGGGTCTCTTAAAGATTAACAAAAATACCATCATACAGGCTCTAAGCTTTAAAAATATCCCTGGACACAAAGTAAGAACAGGCAATAAAATGCATTTAAATTATATTTTCCCAGATTCACTGTGAGAAGTTCAGTAGAACAAGGCACTTGTTCTGCTTCTCGATAACCAAAATGAACAGGTTGTGAGATTTGGAATATGGGTTTTTAGTTCTCAAGACAGATACCTTACAACCTGCAAAGCCTCAAAGATCTTCAACAGCAACATTCCAAAGCATTGCAAAATTTAAAATATTCTTTCTCCATTCCCCACGTGCAAGCCTATTTGAGGCCTCCACTTTTTTTTTTTCTAAAAAAAAGGACAAAGACTGTTCTTTTGGCTATTACAGTCCAGTCCCATCACAGGGATGAAATACTCCACATTGACATTTTCTCCCGCTGCACAGAAAGATCAGCATTTTGTTAAAGAAAGTGCCCATCCTATAAATAGCAGCATTTACAAGCACTTGTAAATCTCTAATTGCAATTGCCAGTACGATTGCGTAACTACCATCACTTCTCAGAGCTTCACTGAGATCTAGACATGCACTGAAGAGCAGAAATATTCTCAACAACCCTTCTGATTATGTGCTGCCATCTCAGTGCTAGAGTGAAAACTTTACACCTCATAT